AAATAGACACAACGCTAGCTAACCATATAAATATACAAACCGACCCAAACATAGCTAAAACCACCACACTTGCATACATACACGAAAATTGGCCAAATTGGTGTCACATATACACTGACGGATCTTCAGACCCGATCTCCAACCACACAGGCTTCGGAGTCCATACCACACAACCAGTTATATCCACACAATCTTTCCGACTCCCTAACAACCAATCTATATTCACGGCCGAACTTATGGGCATGGCCTCAGCCCTACATAACCAACAATCAAAAAACAACAATATAATCCTAATTCTCACCGACTCCCTTAGTGGACTACAAGCCCTCCAAAACCAAAATACCCCAAAACGACCTAAATTAATAAACCAAATACTTAAAAGCTCCAACGACCTAACAAAAGCAGGCAAACAAATAACCTTCTTGTGGATCCCCGCCCACGTAGGAATTTACGGCAACGAAAGCGCCGATAAAGAAGCTAAATTATCTCTCAAAACACCAGAAATAAGCCTAAACCTACCCACCTCAAAATCAGAAATTAAAAGTGTAAACAAACAAAAATAACCAAAAAATGGCATAATCGCGACTGTTTTGCCATTAATCTCTCAGAAATTTGGTTAAATGATTCAGTGCAACATGATATTGCTACAGGAGATGCCCCACCCGTTAGGCAACGATTTTACCGTACAAGTCCTGCTATGCGTGCAGAGATAGATCGTCAAGTTCAGGAGTCAGTAGACTTAGGCATATGTGAACCAGATCATGATAGCCCTTGGGCTTCTCCAGTTGTCATGGTGCCTAAGAAACAGACTAAGGGTTCTACTCCATCATAGCGTCTGGCCATCGACTACAGAGTTGTGAATTCGTGCTCATTGCCGATAGTATTCCCAATGCCGAGATTAGAAGTTGTTCTTGATGTTTTGGGCACAGCACATGCAAAATATTACACAACTATAGATCTGGCAGCGGGATATTGGCAATTAGCACTGAATGAAGAAAGTAAACCCAAAAGTGCATTTGTGACAGCTAGTGGTACCTATCACTTCAATCGTATGGCCTTTGGTCTGGCCTCTGCCCCAGCAACATTTCAAAGACTTATCAATGACGTTTTCCGCAATCTAAATTGGCGTAAAACAATGTGCTATTTAGATGATGTTTTGTGCTTCTCCTCGGATTTTGAGACACATTTAGCAGATTTAGAAGAAGTATTTTTGTGCCTACGCAACGCAAATTTAAAAGCAAAGCCATCAAAATGCCAATTTGCTAAACTGTCAGTCGCTTACTTTGGACATATTTTTTCAAATAGTGGAGTACAAGTAGATCCTGAAAAAACTAGCATGATAGCTTCGTTTCCGACGCCAACAACGCCTAAAGATGTTAAAAGTTTCCTCAGAATGGTAGGATTTTATCGTCGTTTCATTCAAGGTTTCTCCAAAGTAGCAGCTCCTTTACATTCATTGTTGCAAAAGGATAAAAAAATTGTTTGGACGGAAGCACAAGAACAGGCATTTCAAACCCTCAAATCTGCTTTGCTAAAACCACCCATTTTGGCATTCCCAGATTTAAGAAAAAAACCATTTATCCTATACACAGATGCTAGTGATGACGCTCTAGGGTATTTGCTCGGTCAAAAAGATGCCAGTAAGAGAGACGTGGTAATAACCTACAGTGGTCGTGCTCTATCAAAAACAGAGAAAAACTATGGAATTACAGAAAAAGAATGTTTAGCACTAGTATCAGGTATCAAGCATTTCAAGGTATATTTGACACATGCCCCATTTACTGTAGTAACAGATCACAGAGCTTCACAGTATTTGAAAGACAATAAGGACAGCTCAGCCAGACTGAGCCGCTGGTCACTCTTATTGAGTGATTACACTTTCACAGTTCAGTATCAACCGGGCAAGAACTTGGGTAACGCAGATTTCTTGTCCAGATTGCCTTACCCAGAATGCCCACCAGAGTAAGATGACCCACTTTCTGATGTTTCCTATTTGTTTGCTACTGATACGAACAGTACAGACAATTATCTCGCCACGTCCGATGACCACGGCCACCAAATATCGATTGTGACTGCAACAGATGTAACATAAGAGTTGTATGATGCCTCCACAATTAACGACCCTCTTAGTGTAACGTCCGATCCCCTAGGAGATTACTCCATAGCACAGAGGCAATATGACGACCATAAACTACGGGCGCTGATTGATTGCATTAAGTCTCAAACCTTTTCTACTGATGACAAGGCCACACGTACATTATTGTTACAATGCCAGGATTTTATCCTTGACAATGACATATTGTACCACTTGTATGTGCCACCCGGTCGAGGCCACAGGAAAGACAGAATCATTCGTCAACTGGTGATACCTCAGTCGTTGGTAAAACATGTTTTACAATCATACCATGACAGCTTGTTGGCTGGACATGTTGGTATTGACGGAACGTTCAATGCTATTAGACAGAAGTACTATTGGCATCATATGCTGGAGGACATGAAGCAGTATATTTTGTCATGTACTGCCTGTCAAACAAATAAACGTGACTTTAACAAGAGACCTGCCCCATTACAACCATTACCAGTCCCTGGTAAATTGTTTGATCGTGTTCAAGCTGACTTCCTAGGGCCGTTACCACCCACAAAAGCAAGTCATTGATATGTTGTTTTGTTAACTTGCGCATTTTCCTAATGGAGCGTGGCTATTCCGATTTCCTCGTTGGAGGCTGTGGAGGTAGCCAAGACATTCTACTCAAAATACATTTGTGTTTATGGGATCCCCAGAGTGTTATTGACTGATAATGGCACTTCCTTTACCAGCAAACCTTTTACAGCGGTGTGTTCAATATTGGGGATCAAACCATTGGAAACTAGTAGTTATCACCAACAAACCAACGGAGTTTGTGAAAGACTCAATTCGTTTATCGTGCAAACGCTCCGCATGTTTATCAATGATAACCAGGACAATTGGGATGAACTTCTCCCTAGTGTGATGTTTACCTATCACACTAGCCCGGCAACGCAGAGTACTGGGTTTTCCCCCCTACTTTCTCCTGTTTGGCCAAGAATGCTCAGTACCCGTTGATGTTGAATTACAATCATTTCAACCCCTACAACAAACAATTAATTAAGCAATAAAATAGTGAATGGATAAAAGTATTTCAAGATCACTGGGAAAATTTCACGTTACAGGAGGCTACATGGGAACCCGAATCTAATATCCCTCAAGGATTGATTTGTGGTTACATGATACAGAAGTAGTAGTTGTGTGCAGTAGTCTGGGACCTCTGGGATCACGTGACCTCTGTGACGTCACTTCCGGTTGGGTGTGCGTAGTGCATGGTGGGTCCTGCTTGCGCATCCAAGATGGCGTCACATCCGTTTCCGGTGGCGTGCGCATCCAAGATGTTGTCACATCCGTTTCCGGTGGCGTGCGCCTCCAAGATGGCTACACGTCCGTTTCCGGTGGCGCGCGCCTCCAAGAGCGTGGCGCATCCGTTTCCGGTGGCGCGCGCCTCCAAGAGGGCGGCATTTCCGTTTCCGGATGGCGGCACGTCCGTTTCCGAGGGGTCATCTCCCAATCCACCATGGCGGCTCGGCGCCTCAAAAAGGGGAGGAGGGAGAGGAGGAGGGAAGGTGGGAGGGAGGGAGGAAGGCGGGAAGGGAGTCGGGTTCTTTGTTTTGTTTTGTTTTGTTTTGGTGTGTGTGTGGCGATGGCATGTGGAGATGATAGCTCACTGAGACGAGCTAATCATACACAGTTGACGACTCTGGCACTTTGTTGCTAGGTTGACGTCATATCGGCGAAGGATTTTGCAACAACATTTCACAAATCATGTCATCGGGTATGGGGATGTGTTTGTAAACTTTGAGGTGCAAGGTCTCGTTCGACAAGGCGATCGTGTATTGTAGCCCACTATGACAGCCGTTCGTCTAAGTTACAGTCGGTGAGTGGCGAATTTAAAGGTGCTAAAGGTGTGGCCTGAATTTCGAAAGGTGCATCGACAGGCACAGACATGAACGTGATGTAGGTATATGCCTACGTGATGTACTTCGTGTTGCCATGCAAACATGGTGCCATGCGTGACGACAAACACACGTTGATCCATAGGATTATTATTATTATTATTATTATTATTATTTATTATACCGAGGTGCTGGCACTCGTGTAGGTTGACATGCGCACTGTCACGCGTGTCTCCATGCACACGTCATGTACTACGTGTTTCCATGCAAACGTGGTGCCATGCGTGACTACAAAGAGACGTTGACGTTGATCCATAGGATTATTATTATTATTAATTATACCGAGGTGCTGGCACTCGTGTAGGTCCACATGCGTACTGTCATTCGTGTCTCCATGCACACGTCATGTACTTCGTGTGTTTCCATGCACACGTGATGTACTTCATGTTGCCATGCGAACGTGATGTCATGCGTGTGTGTCTTCAAACACACGTTGATCCACAGGATTAATTATCATATTTAGTATTTTATAAGGATAGAGAGAGAGAGAGAGAGCGAGAGAGAGAGAGAGAGATAGACATACGTGGTGTTTGACCCGTGTCTCCAGGCACACGTGGTATTTCACTCGTGTACACCCCCATACATACCAACATATTTATCTTATGTTATTATTTTGAGTCGTACAATGGTGGTGTCACGCGTAGGCGTGTGCCTCCAAGAGGACGAGGGGGAGGGTGTGGGTTCTTTTGGATTGTTGTTGTTTGTGTTGGCAAAGCAAACAGGGTGGGTGTCGATTAGTCTGAACACCATGTGGACACCAGGCAGCTGATCTTTCAAGCATGGTCTTTTTCTTTTATCTATTTATTTTTATTCTTTACTTTTTTTCTTCACTTTTACAACGAGCATGTGCACTGACATGACAGACGCACAGACAGACAGACAGACAGACAGACAACGTAGACGACATCTCAACTCAACCTCTACCCTCGGTTCGGCACTCTATTGGAGTTGAGATCAATCAAGACACAAAGAGACAGTTCAATCAATCACTGTTTACTAATGAACAACAACAACCACAACCAGATACATAGGAAATACGAAAAAACAATAGAGGAGGGAGTGCTTTGCATGTCCCTACAACAACAACGCGACAACGTTTCCTCTTCTATCTTCAAGCTCTTCGAGTGAAGATGGGGTCAGCATAAGATGTGGTCCTCCATCATACTGTCCCAAACAGGTCCCACACATGTGAGAGGTCCATCAGTAAAATAAGTACAGTCTATGGCCTCCCTGAAACAGACATGGCACATCACTTGACCACTGTTGCAGCTTATGTATCTTAACATGTTGTTGTGTCGGCAGGCACTACATTCACGTTGTAGGGGAGTGAGTCGAGCTTCTTCATAAGGATCCTGGTCAACGTTGTCATCGTTGCAAACCATGGGTATACCTGAGGAGAAGACATCTTCCGGTGATGCTGGTGACCAAGAAGCATCAAGCAGGGGAAGTGCATCCAGATCCATGGAAGGGAGAGTTGCCAGCTTGAACGCTTCATGATCATCACTGTCACCGGTCGTCATCATCACAGGTGCATTCGGTGAATAGGTTGGCTCCCGAGGAGTTTGTTCCCACCACTGTTCTAGCACGGACTGGGCTGAACTGACATCTGGGGTCCTGTCAATCCTGGCAATCCTGTCCATCCAACAATAAAATAATCATATGAATAGTCATACTCACGATCAACATTGACATCATCATCATCACATCAAGAATGACTGAGACAAAGAATAGCATGGTACTTACAGTTGTTCTTGATGAGAAATCTTCAGAGACAATTTCTTCCGTGGTCGTCTTTTTGCAGTTGTTGCAGGTTTCAAAAAGGATGTCCCCTTCGTTTCGGTGTCTGCTGCTGTTGTTGCTACTGTGGTGGTGATGGTGACTGGTGCTGTTGATGAGGGTGCTGTGGTGACTGAGGTGACCATCGGTGATGGTGAAGGTGGTGGTGGTGAAGGTGGTGGTGGTGATGACTGCGCTGAAGTTACTCCTGTTACTACGGCGACGAGTGCAGCTGTTGCTTCTTCTACTGCTGTGGGTGTGGCGGCTGTGGCTGAGGCGAATTTTTCTGTTGCTGCTGCTTCTCGGGGTGTCCCCTTCGATGCCCTCACACCTACCGCGTATTGCGCCATCTGTAGTGCATTGGTGAATACTTTTAGTGAGGGTGTTGTTGCTGCGTCTGCAGCTGCATCTTCTTCTGCCTGTGTGGTTGCTGCTTCTGCTGCTGCTACGGGTGTTGTTGTTGGTGTTGTCTGCGATGGGTACTGCTGTAGCAAGGGTGCATGTGAAGTTACTATTTCAACGAGTGCTACTGCTGCTGCTTCTATGGCTGCAGGTGTTGCTGCGGCTGATGCTAGTATCGCTGTCCATAGTGCTGAGTCGAGTTGTTGTGCTGCTTTCACTGCTTCTGAGGGTGTTGTTGTTAGTATGGGTGTTGCTTCTGCCGCTGCTGACGCTGCAATGAGTGCTGAGAGGAGTACGTCTGTTTCTTTTAACGTTCCCTCTGCTACCACTGCCGTAAGTGCTGCGACGTGTGGTGCTGCTGCTTTTTTGGCTGCTTTGAGTATGGATGCTGTGAGTGCTGCTGCTTCAGGTGTTGGGGCTGACTTTTCCACGTAGAGTTCCATGCTGGGGATGCAGATGCCATACTCCGGAGGCAGAAATGTGTCCACAACACTCTTTAACTTATCATGCATGCAGTCATGGGAAGCTTTGTACAAGGCACTTGTTCTCATCATCTCCCAATGTAGAACTAGCCGCTCCCCCAGAATGTCCGCCATTGCACGACGGAATTGCTCGCTATTGAGAACGTCCTCGTCCTTGTCCCCCATCTCCTTCTGTTTGATGATGAGGCGGTAGTGGCCATTGTTGTCATACGGTAGTAGTAGCCGGAACATGATGGTGTTGTTGCTTGGACCGTTTAGTGAAAAGTGATGGCCAGGGAACGCTGATCGTACTTAAAGACACTGACACTCTGCTTTCTGATTGGTGGAAAATCCGACCTTCTGATTGGCTGGTTTCTGTCCCACACGCCACCCACCAGTGTGGTACGTCCTTAGTGTTTCTTTTCCATAGGGTCAGGCTTGTAGCGTGAGAGAGAAAGCACAACCTCGTTTCGACCCATCAGAGGGCCGCCCAAGGCAAAGGCGCCCTCTGATGGGTCGACAACCCAAGCTTCTGATTGGTCAGATTTCGATCCGGTTTTTTCTGTAGGTGCCCATGTCGATTTAATTTCGATCCGTTGTGACACCTCCCCAAAGTGATCTAGTCGTCTCTGTACCCAAAGGGGAGCGTGTCTACAGGCAGCCCTGTGGTTTCGTCGTAGACGAGACGTCGCTTGTCGTACACGGTACGATAGTCTTTTCGGGTGGGTCTGTCACAAGAGCGTTTTCGGGCCAAGGTCCTTATCGAATGATGTGATGAGGGTAATCACAACTGATTTTCTCCCCCTCTTTCCCAGGCTGTTGTCCCAGTATCAGTCCTTTCATGGTGCCAAAGTTGAGATGTTGTTGGTTTCTGTAATTCAAAGTGAACCCTCGCACTTTGCAGGTCGTAGGCGTTTGATCGGGTCTGGGGTTCATTAACTCATAGCCATAGTTTTTGGGGCCTCCTGACACAAACGTCTTGATGGTGTTTCCGTCCAGTTCATCTGTAAACTAGCCCAACGAATGGCCCAGCTCTGGATCGCGTCGTGGGGTCGATGAATGTAAATGACGCTGTCCGTGTCAAAGTACAAGACCCTGCGACCCACCAGGGCAAGGGTCTTGTACAGCTTGAGACGTGCTTGGGCGGTGACCAAAGCAGCGATGGCGACATTGAAATGAGAATGAGGGGTTTGGAATTCTTTCTTCTGGGTATAGGTCACTTCCACCATGTGTTCGTTGACAACGGTAACATCCTCGATGGTATTGCGTTCATCCCTCCACAAAGTAAAGTACTGTACAGGATCGTTCATATAGGTGTTCTGACTGTAGTCTAGTCGTTGTCCAAACTTGCCCCAGAGCGATGCATCTTGGCAATTGTGCGACGTCCTGGGTTTTTTCGGATGCGGTCCTTGTCCAACCCAATGCCTTCTTTGTCGTAGATCTCCTGGATGTAAGCGTCGTGATCCGTACATCCCTCGGGGTATCCGCTGGCTTCGAGCTTCTCCTTGAAATGACGATCGATATCAGTGTCAAAGAGTCCTACTTGCTGGGTGCCGGGGTCATGCTGTGCAAAGGTGTCAAAATGACAAATGTTGTAGATCTGAAGCACCTGGTAGTCATACTTCTTCATGGCTTCATGGAGTTCTACGGTGGCGTACGTGCCCACCAGTGACCTCTCTCCGTTCGCGTGTGCTTGCAGGGGGAGTCTGACCGGGTATTGGCACACGTACGGCACTAAGGACAGAGCAGTTTGCCACCCGATCTGTAAGGCAGTAGCGGATGGTAGAGTCGTTTCGGGGTAGGACATGGTATTGGATCAGACCTTTTAGTTCAAACAACGCGTCCACAGGGGGTTGATGGAGAAGGGTCGGGTGTCCCGTGGGAAATGCTCCGGTCTTACAAATGTATGAATAAAGGGAACAAATATCGATGTACTTGATGGTTTCACCTTCTTGGGCTTCGTAGCATAATCGCGTGGCATTGGTGCGTCCTCCATAGAAGGCGTCGCGAGGGTTGAGCGGCCCAGGGACGTGGATACAGTGGGGTCTGCAAGAAAGCACGCAGAGCGGGGTCCTCCTGTTGCATTTTTGTAAACTCGTGCTCCCACAGGGTGACGATCCGTTTCACCTCAGGGTGTTGATTCAAGAGACTCAGGGGGTAACGGGTGTCGGTATAACGGGCTCCCAACGACGTGCCCAGGACGGGATGAGGTTCTCCACGTTGGGTCTTGTGACAGGCCTGGCACCCATGCCAGAAACAGCCCAGGAATTCGTAGATGGTGCCTGTCGCTGGATCGTAGCCATCCACACTGTACCGATGTTGGCCCTCTCCACACGTGAACTCTTTTTCACCTCCATTCCTGGCGTGCTGGAGGTGCAGATTGGGGTGCGTCTCCATCAGATAATGGAGCCAGTGCATACAGGCCTGGGAATGGTTTCTCTTGGGTTGGTAGCCTTGAGGTGGAAGAATGGCATTGGTATTGGGTTTCAGGTCGTGTTTTCGGAAGGATTTCATGGTGAACGCAGCAGCTGTCATCACTTCTACAAAGGGATCCATGCCAACAGAGTTGATGGCGTTCTGTCGGAAGTCAGCGTATCCCCGTTTCAAAATGTGCACATCGCTCTGGCAGTAGGCTAAAAGTTCTCCTTGCAAGTCAAACAAGGCTCCTTCTTGCACTTTTTGGGTATGCCACTGGAGGAAGACTGTGCGTACCGCGGGAGACATGCCATCGGGATCGTACATGACGGCTGGTGGAGAGGGACCTCTGTAGGTCTGGTTGGCTTTGGTATCGAAAAAGCGTGGAAAGTACCCTTTCTTCAGTTCTTTCAGTCCAAAGCTCTTTGGAAATGCTTTCAGTGGGTAAGGTATGAAATTTAAGCTGTCTTCGAAACACAACCGTCCCAGGGTCACCTGCAGAATCTGTTGTCCATTTCGAATCTTGGTGGGGAGTTTCACCAGAAGGGGGTACAGACCCTTCAGGATCAAGTGTAAATCATAGGATCGTGCATTATGGGCCATCACATAAATGCGATCCTCCTTCTGGACTGTCGTGGTGGTGCTCTTTGTCTTCTTTGTTTTCTCCAATTCCATGACATCTTCCCCCTCCACCTCTACTGCTTCCACCTCCTCCTGCTGGGGTGATGAATGTCGTTGACGTTTTGAAGAGTGGTTTCTTGAGGGGGTTCCATCCCCAGGTGTGCTGTTGCCCCCTTGCGTGTGCTGCCCTCCTCTTCCTCTTGGTTCTTCTTCTTCTTGGGTTTTTCACCCAACGTGGTCAACCACACACACACATCATGTCGCGTGGTGGGGGCTCGTAACACGATCTCACGGCTGGGACCATACCCTTCTTCTCTCCATGGACAGTGTTCGCACAAGTCCTTGCTCACTTCACTGATTCATCGTCCACATCCTAACTGCACCACGCACAAATTTGGAATGTGTTCCCCTGTGTCTTGCATGCATTCAAAATCGAAGAACACGTATTGGATGTTGTCTCGTATGTGATGTTGTTCCTCTTACCCCTCCTCATCCTCGTTTTCTTCACGGAGAGGCGTCATGTAACAGCGATGGTCTGGGGTCATGGGTTCTCGGCACACCAAGCAGGGATGTTCTTCATCTGAGCACTCATGGTGAGCCATGGGGGTCTCCAAGACGTGGACCACCTGAAAACAGGTCGGACACCTGTGAATCGATTGACAGGCGCTGGGTTTTCCCTCTGACGGTGACTGGAGATGTCGGGTGTAACACTGTTGATTTGGGAACCAACGTTCACATGTCAAGCAAGGGATCCTGTGCTCTTCCTTGGATCCGCAATAGCTAGAGTGGAGGCATCGGTGGCAGCGGTATTGCTTGGTGCAGGGTGTATTTCGGGATGGTCGTAGCGTTCTCAGTAATGGTTAGATGCATAAAAAGCTGGCATCGAAGTAGAGACATCGTAGTGCTGATCATGATGATATAAATGCAGCACGATGGCGTGGGGTGGAGCCTCATCACACTTGTACAACAATCTCTGGTCCACCTCTTGACTGTAGACTTTCAGTTGATAATTCAGGTGGGCCAAGGCGCGTCCCACGTGTGCTAGGTCGTCCAGGCCCTGACAGGGACCTCCAGGCAGGCCAAGACGTCGAAACAAGTCCCGTGCCCGTATGCCTTGAACGTCGACCCGATCCGTCTCTTTCGCTGGGCGGACCATTCTGGGGTCAGAGGGTGGGGCTTCTGGGCATAATGCTGTGCCACCACCATGGCCTGTGCCAAACAGGATTGATCTTCGTTCTTGATCCGTACAATACCTTGTTTGCGTGTTAAAAAGGCTTCAAGTCCAATCACGTTTTTCAGATGGAGGCCACCACTGCCTGATCCTAGCCTGTCGGGATCTGCGACGTGTACTAAAGTCACAACCATGGTGGCAACGATGTTCAGGTCTTTGTTGGACTGTTGGACTTTTTCCATGGCATGCAAAATATCTAGCCCATGGAGATCTTCAAAGCGACGAAAGGGAATCCGTATGGGAGTGTTCAAAGCGGGATGATCGATACCTAGACCAATACGATCTCCCTTCTGGCCTGACATCTGTTGATAAAAGTTATCGATCACCCTGTCAAATAAAGCCGGCAGTTCCATGGGAACGCGGTCCGGTGGTACGGTGTCCAAGTATTCTGGGTTGAAAGTCATGCTTGTCCGTCATGGTGGCGATGAGTGCCTGATGAAAGTCTACCCTTCCTTTATATACACAAACAAGACGATCTATTTAAAGAAGGTCTCTGATTGGTCGAAAATCTGACCAATCAGAAGTCAGCACCGACCAATCAGAAGACAGCACCCGAGCCGAGTTGTGCTTTCTCTCCCATGGAAAATACATTATTTCCTATGAAAACAAACAAACACCACAGTCGGACCAATTTGGAAAACTGAGGCTCAGTGCAGGCATCGAAACGGATCCAGCGGCGTGTCGCGTTTTGGAGCCATCAAAACAGGAGCCCTTTCGATCCACTTTAAAAGTTGAAAAAATGAATTGTGTTGTGTTTTTAGGATGGAGAAATCAGCATGCTCACCCCAGGGAGAAACAACAGGATAAAAAATGGTAACCCATCAGAAGCTTGGGTTGTCGTCCAATCAGAAAACTGGGTGACAGTGTCTTAAATAGGATAGACACTCTCTGGTCAACACTTTTCCTATGAAAAAGAAACACACGGGTCGGGCCAGTTTGGAAAACCGAGGTGAAAGTCAGGCGCCGGAATGGACCAATCAGCGCGCAGCGTGTTGGACCAATCAAAACAGGGGCAATTTCGATCGCTCCCTGCATTCCTACATGTCTGTGCCTGTCGATTCACCTTTAGAAATTCAAGCAACACCTTTAGAATTCAACACCATGATCGTAGTGCTGAGGTGATCGCCACTCACCCACTGTTACTTAAACGAACGATTGTCCTTGTGCTACAATACGACCGCCTTGTGGAAGAAAACCTTACATCTCAAAGTTTACAATCACATCATCATAGTCGATGACGTCATTTGTGGAATGTTGTAGCAAGATCTTTCGCCGATGTGATGTCAACCTAGCAACAAAGTGGCTGGGTTATCGACTGTGTATGATAACTTTGATAAACTCGTCTCAGTGATCTATCATCTCCACACGCCATCGACACCCACCCTGCTTGCTTTGCCAACACAAACAACAACAATCCAAAAGAACCCACACCCTCCCCCTCGTCCTCTTGGAGGCACACGCCTACGCGTGACACCACCATTGTACGACTCAAAATAATAACATTATTTAAGATAAATATGTTGGTATGTATGGTGGTGTACACGAGTGAAACACCACGTGTGCCTGGAGACAGGGGTCAAACACCACGTATGTCTATCTCTCTCTCTCTCTCTATCCTTATAAAATACTAAATATGATAAATAATCCTGTGGATCAACGTGTGTTTGAAGACACACACGCATGACATCACGTTCGCATGGCAACATGAAGTAAATCACGTGTGCATGGAAACACACGAAGTACATGACGTGTGCATGGAGACACGAATGACAGTACGCATGTGGACCTACACGAGTGCCAGCACCTCGGTATAATTAATAATAATAATAATCCTATGGATCAACGTCAACGTCTCTTTGTAGTCACGCATGGCACCACGTTTGCATGGAAACACGTAGTACATGACGTGTGCATGGAGACACGCGTGGCAGTACGCATGTCAATCTACAGCAGTGCCAGCACCTCGGTATAATTAATAATAATAATAATAATAATC